CATTTTTGAGAGGCAAACTGAATATGGCATGAAATATTTACCGCATTTTACTTGTATTAACAGGTCATTGTCGAAGTGTAGTTTACGCACGGTTACCGTGTTCTACGCATTCACAACATGTTCACAGCGGTCGATATCCACGCTGTATCATATAAAAACGATTACCAAGATTCGTTACGCAAGACCAAGTTTTAAATTAGTTACATTTTGAAGGGGTGGGCGCTTTGCCGAATGTGACCCCGAATATAAAAAATGCGCAAAAGTAGGGGGTGGGCGCTTGCCCGGGCATGGGCGCTAACGCGGTCGAGTATGGTAATACACATGCAGACATTTACCTGGTGAAACCTGCCAATTCTCAGATGAGGATGCTTCCTCACAAGACCATCTGACGGTGAGAGTTCACTGAGAAGCAATTTGATTAGTGTTGATTTTCCGGCACCATTAGGGCCAACAAGTGCGACCCTGGAATCCAAATCAATACCAAACTCCAAATTCTTGTAAATAAAAGGCTGTATAGGAAAAACAAAATTAGAACACTTTGGAAGAGCAGTATGGTGGTTTAGTAATTTAAACTCAGTTACGTTAACAGTTCTCAATTAGAGTACTACGGTACATTTTGTAACTATGCAATACGCTTAACAATGAGATCTGTATTGCCTGTGTGCTTAATGAAGTCAGATATATTGATTCGCTTCAGGTATTTTTAGCATTGTTCCCATAGCTTTAAAAGCCAGGGCACTGTAATTCGGCCTTTCGATGTCATCATTCTTCAACACACAACACTCAAAATGCACTAAGAAGTCGTAATTTTTTTTCCCAGTGATTTCAGAGAATAAGTATTGAAAACATACATTTTACAAATAAAGTATGTAGGTATTTTCTTCTTTTTTATATATTTTTTTTATAGAGACAGTTTTGCAGATACAAGGGACATGAATCATGTTCAATGTTTAAATTATCCAGTTTGAATTTCAGTAGAACATCATTTTTTGACGTTTTCTCAAGGTCTGGCAAAAAAATAAGGTAAGTTGATTGTAGGAACCACACAATGTTATATTCCTTGGCCTAGATACAAGCCTTCATTCAAACCAACCAAGTTTTCATAGCCATATTGGTTTTCACAAGTCCATAGAACAGTACAGCAACGGTAATACCAACATTTATATTCATTTCATGATTTCTGTTCTGTTCTTATGTGAATGCTGGCTGCATAACTAAATATTGAGTACATAATATAACCTTACCAGATCGTCTCCATATTTGAAGCTGACATTCTGAACCATCAAGACAGGAGGAGGAACTTTACCACAGTCAGGGAAGTAGAATGATAACGTCTAGAGATAAAAGAAATGTTAGTTTCAAATCAGGATGTTTAAGAGGTATGCAAGGTGACTGCTGAAATTGCATTCAAATTTCACTGGCAGTTTGTATTCTAATGACAGATTATGCTACTGATCCACATTCTCTAGAAAGCTCAGTTTTTGATTGGTTTAAGTTCATTCATTGACTGATGTTAGGGTCACAGGCTACACACAATTATTGTAAGCCACTGCAGATTAAAGTCCACAGAGGGCAGCAAAGCAAAGCAGTGACATTCATGCCAAGGAGTCAACCATATTTAGATAATCTTACCTTATCTGCAACCACTCTATCAGCTAGCCCACCAGCTACCATTTTACTCAATGTTTTCTCTTTGCTCTGTGCTTGTCTGGCCAATTTGGCACTACCATGACCAAACCTGGCTATGTAATCCTACAAAAAGTATGGTATGTGTATGGCATTTTGAGTGCAAGTTAGATTAGTGTAGAATTGGTGATTGCTACAGATCTGTGTGCTTGTTGAAGTCAGATATATTGATTCGCTTCAGGTATTTTTAGCATTGTTCCCATAGCTTTAAAAGCCAGGGCACTGTAATTCGGCCTTTCGATGTCATCATTCTTCAACACACATTTAACTTAAAGTTGTATTGCTGACAAAATTTAGTTTGATACCTTTGACGTAAAAGTAATACATGTAAATGTGACAAATGCAACAGCTGTGGCATTCACAAGATATCCACTTTGCCCATAGCCTGACATGACCGAGCAGTTCTATGAATTCGGTTGTAGTTTTCAGCATTTTTTGGTGTCAACACACAGAATCACACAAGATCCTCCAGTTGACAATGTGCTTCATTACAGAATCAATATCCGATGCCAGCAGCTACTTGTGTTATCAATATTACATACTTTTTAGGTTGAACTCTGGTCTAGTGACCACTAGTCTGATGCTGCAAGTATAATACTGGCGAACAGTTTTAACTAACTTTTGCCAGCAATACAACTTTAATAAATATGGACGATAACCACATGACCTTACACATGCTTTCATCATACCTTCATGTGGGCTATTTGAGCCTGCTCCCAGTTATACCGCTTCATCTGATTCTCTTCAAGCTCAAACCTGGTTCGCACATACGTATCATAGTTACCCTAGGGGAAAAAAAACATGCGTCGCATGTCATTGAAAATTTATTATTGTTGCACAAATCAAATAATCTTCTCCTGTATATGACAATATCAAAGGTTCAATTCACTTGCCCTGGACAATTGTATATTGGAGGTGTAGATATGTAGCTCTGTATGACTACATCTGGGCTTGCATGAGCCGTTTAGTACAGTGAGACTTGCAAGGAAATATCACCATTGTTTATAGTATACCTGGGCTTTTAATTTGTATCAAGCCATATGAAACAAAACTTTACTTACACCATAATACTGTAATTTTCTGTTATGTAAATGTATAATATTGGAACAAACACCATTCAGGAAATCTTGTGAATGCGATACTAGCACCAATATACGTTTATAGCTGAGAGAAAACACATAGACAGTCAGAATGCATGGTAGTTACAGTGCTGGACTGAAGCTCCAGTGTTCTCCCCAGAAATTTACCAGAGTCGCGGCTAATTTTCATAAATTAACATGTTGTTTGTCATATGGGGAAATAACACAAGACTAGTTTTTTTTTCCTGTTTTTTCTATTTATTTTATGTACAATCTGTATACAATAAAAGTGCACTGCATGTTTAGTATTGCAAATGTCCCGCAGAAATACCGAGCTTTCTGTTTCTTTGCTTAACCCAGTAATCAGCAACTTTATAAAACCCTGTACGGTCCCAGTAAATTAAACATTGGGTTGACGATTCTCAGTGCTTGTCTTCCATTTCTGTTGTTTTCCGGTTAAGTACAACAACTGTTATGAATCACAATACTTGCGCTACTATGTTCGAGCAATAATAGTTTTTCTAGCTGAAATTATTCATCTTTATGTATTTTTTTTAATCATCGATGTTGTGAACAAGTCAAGACAACGGAGGTCTGAATTACGAATTGTCGCCATTGTTATACCACGTAAAATTGAGGCTTTTCCTCCAAGGAATAACACAAGTGTCACTCCAAATTCCACACGTTTCTTGATTAGAATTCCTGATTTCTTGATAAATATATTATTTTCCATTATGCTTCACTTAATTCATCCAGATCTGAGCACGATATGCGATCCGAGTAGGAAGTTCACGCTCGCTGGATCTTGCGTGGGTGACGCCATCTTGGATTCACGATCACGAGGTCAAAATTGTTTACATCATAAATATATATTTTTTCACATTTTGATCTCAAAAAACAAATACAATATCAAAAATACTGATAAAAATCAAAACCTAGAATAATAGTACGACTACGTTTCTAAAAAATAATAATGAAAATAAGTTTCGTACACACCGGAAACATGTGGCTTTTGACCCCAAGTGTGACTATATCATTTGCATATGAATATACGTTTGGCAAAAAGCTTACGGCTTTGTCTTTATAGAACTGAGCTCCACCTTAGTTTGGTATGTAAGCAACTGGTTTATTCAGTTCTGAATCAATATAGTGATCAGTGTTCTCCACATTCCAAAATAGCTGGTGGGCGGCCTAATTAGCATAAATTTGCATATCATTTACGTACGGCATTCTAGCATCTATGTCATGAACTGCAATAGACACTAAGTTATTTACTATTCTCTTTTTAATTTAATTGAAACACGTTACAATTTTTTGAAATACAAACAGATTGGTCACTACATGTATTAATATTTACGAAATGCAAAAAGTTTAAAATCTGTATTTTATACGTTCGCAAATTATTCTGCATTCATGAAATGCAATTCGAGTAACCAAGAGCAAGTACAAGAGTTATAATGTAGAAAATATACGAGGTGATTTGTCCTCGATGCCAAAACGGACGATTTGTCAAAATAAAACCCATAACATTTTTTATTTGTAGCATCAGTACTCACCCGTGCCGATGGACGGTAAGATGCATTTACGCATGTACGGTCACGATACATTGAGTTTTCACACGTTGTTTTGGAATTAAAGAAAAAATGCTAGCAATTGGCAAAATAAAAGAATCTGCTATGTTCTCGAAAGATTAGACATAAAAATGGATAAATTGAAAAAAGTATGTGGAAAAGATACCTAAAATATTATTCAATTACAAATACTCACGGTAAACTAATCCGGCATGCCATGTTTGATGTTTATTACCGCTTTCCGAATTCAGTACACGAACACCCAGAATGTGCTGTTCCCCTATGCAACTTAGATACTAAATCGTTACAGCGCCAACAGCGGTGGGTGGCCGACTGTCGTTGAATGGGGTAGGCCAAAAGGTCACCAGTTTGCCTTTTCATTGCTGGTCTCACGATGAAAATCGAGCAAACGTAAATACGGCCAGAATTTTAATTTTTGTTCGAGTTTACTGGGAACATGCTAATATATTTACTTCTTTCTTCATGATCGAAAGACGATTATTAAAAATACAGCTGTAAATTGAAACCACTGTAGTTGCGTATCGTGAGCAATAAGTGGCAACAATGTCGGGCGACAATGAATTCAGGTGATTGACACATTGCCATGAATACACTTGATAACTGCTTGCAGACTTTCAATGGTCATTGTTTATGTTTAGACTCTTGAAGCAATAGCAAAATAAAGGGTTGGGCAACTACTCTTTTGTTTAGGCTTGGGAAGAACAATGCAAGCTTTTTACAAATAATTTCAGCTAGATGTACGCTGGTGGGCGGGGTGTTGAGAGTTACTAGGCAGCCGTAAAACTTGATGGGCGGGGCCGCCCACCTAAAACTCCTTGAGAACACTGGTGATAATTACACAACTACACCCCGCCTCCCATACCACTGGCAAAATAGCATAGCATTTACTATTCAATTTTAGTGACTAGGCAAACCAATACCAATACTTTACATTGTGTATCTTCATATTTATACGACTCCCCAAAACCAAAACGTGAAGCGTCTCTGAAAATGGCTATTCTCTTGTTAAACTAAACAGATAAAATTATCAATTGTCTACAACTTTTTGGTAAGAAATTTGAATTTTTTAAGATAATTGACATTGTTAAAATTTTATAATAAGTAATTACCTAACTAAATAAATAACTAACTTATTCAAGCAGTATATACTCACTCTTTTAATTCTTCCTCAAGCCACACGCACGCATCCAAGTCTAAATGATTTGTGGGTTCATCTAGAATTAGTAGATGAGGTTTTATATACAGTGCCTTGGCGAGTGCTATCCGCATTCTCCAACCTCCAGAGAAGTGCTTACAGGCAGTGAGTTGCATTTCAGGTGTGAATCCCAATCCATGAAGTATACTAGCAGCTGTCATTTCAGCTTTGTCAGCATCAAGTTCATCAAGACGTTCAAATATTTCCATTAGTCTATCGGCTTCAGCTGCAGTCAAGAAAAGTATGATAATTTGATTAATAAGTTTGAATTAGAGCACATGCATACATCACATTCACATCACTAACTTATTACATTTGAATTGCTGATTTATCACTAACTTTCACAACCCATTGCATACTGATGCCATTGTATACAGTCAAATCTATGGAGACTTTCAGCAGGCAATGTGTTGAACCTTTATGACAACCCACTAAGTATGGAGTAATTGCGAATATTAGGTTAGATGGTTACTACTATCAATGTGATGTGATGACAAATGTGTGACCCGACGCAATAACTACTCAAAAGTCATGGAGTAAAAGGATTATGTAGTATGTCAGGTCATATAGCCTGTATGCTACTAGTATGAAGCAATTGTCCTAGTTGTCTAGTTCATGTTCACATGTGCAGTCAGCATATTCTGCGCCCTACCATAAAATAGTTATTTAAAACCACATCTCTAATAAAAGCCAAACCACATCCCTTCTGTTGCATTTCACTATTTTAATAGAAGCTGCAATTTCTCATATACAGTATAACCCAAAAATATGTTTTGTTTAGCATAAATCACTATTGTACCAGTACTTTTACATCAACTTGACCAGAGAAGGGTTAAACAAATTACTGTAACTAACAGCATTAATATTGAATGGTAATTATTTGATCATACTAACTGGGTTTTAAATTCACTAATTTTATATGTGGATTTAATTAAATATCAAAAGGCCATTTAAACTAAGAATTAACAAAAAAGACTACTGTGAATGAAATGTTGACTCTTCATCATACAAAACTGATTAGACATCATGGTACATTCAGCATCTGGTAAAGCATAACAGTGATATAATCATCTGATAGTCAGGTACAACTGTACACGACTTAATTTACATGCCAGGTTTTATATTATCTTATTTTGCTAATAAATGAAGCTCAAATTAACACAAGTGAGAATATTTCTCTTCATAATAGCATAATGACACAGTACAGTGTACTGAGAATCACAGGTGCTTTTCAAAAGGGGTGGGGTTGTAATCTTGGCACTACAAGACAAAAACTTACACCAAAATCAGAAAGGCTCATGGTAAGGTTAGATGCTTATTTGTAAACAATGACAAGCTAAGGCTATCCGTCTGTGCTTGTATGATACTTGATAAGAAGGGGTGGAGACAACTCTTATTCATCGACTAATGATAATTTGTTTTAACTTTTTTTGTTGTATACAAAACCAACAGCCTACAATACTGTAATAAATTATGAATGAATTAAATCTACAGTTAGTTAATACAAAAACAATCATTACACTCTAGATGTCCAATCTCCTCTGATTCTTTCTCAAGTCTGTTTCTTTCTGCATCTGCGTCCATCACACACTGCAATGCTGTCTTATCACTGGCCGATATCTCCCTGGTAAGATGGAAAATGTCTATGTGATCAGGTATTGGAACTTCACGAAGACCGAGTGCTGTTAGAAAGGTAGACTTTCCTACATGAAAAAAAAAATAATGACAATTCTTATAAGACCTAACTTATCAAACCTGGGCAGATGGAAGTAAGACAAAGAACAAACTTGATGTCCAGTGTCTAAGCAGTTTCACTAGAAATGTCAAATCTGCTCAACAGGCTTTCTGGTAAGTAAGGGCTTTGTTTCTATCTTTTATATCGTAATTCATCAATTTTAGCAGGCACATGATTAGACCATTCACAAAGAGAAAGCAGAAAGCATTTTTGAACTTAAGGTATTTGTAGTTGCCACATTGTCACTGGGAGTTGACGCTGATAACTACAACTAAAGACATCAGCAAAACTTAAAGCATTAATTTGTTTCCAGAAGTTTGTTACAAAAACACAGACTTACCGGATCCGTTCAAGCCGACAAGACCATACCGCCTCCCACAGTTCAGTTCTATTTTTGTGTCTGCCAACAACTCCACACCATGAAACGTGACAGAGAAATTATAAATTTTAATATCTCTACTACGTGGATGGGATGCTAATACACCAGTCACTGATCTTCCAGTATTAATATCTAATGCAGCCAGCGATGATGCAGCACCATTGACACCATTGGAGCCTAGATGAACAAGGTTTGAATGAAACATTAACATGGGTATAAAGAGATATTTCCAGGTTACCAGCAAATACAATTTACAGTACCGTGAATACAAATGCTAATACAGTGGCCCCTTGCTAAGTCGCGGGTGTCGGGATCCAAGCAAAAACCGCGACTTATCGAGGGCCGCGACTTACCGAGGGACCTCGTGAAAGAGGGAGATCGTGCATTGAAAAACATAAAAAGCGCATATAAACCCTCGGTTTAGCTAATTGATGTATCATCATATGTGTCATATGCAGTATTCGAATAAAATCATGATTATGTTTTCTGTAAACACTTCAGTGATGCGTTGTTTATTTTGTTTGTGTCCGATAGTATGTGGGTAGTTTGCTTTTTGCTTGCGACTTCGACGGTAACAGCTTCCAAAATGAACCAGTTTCATCGCAATTATAAACTTGTTCGTCATAATAACCACCTTCATAGATAATTTCTCTCAGTTTTTCGGGAAAAGTTCTGACAGCGTCATGTTCGCAGAGCGAGCTTCGCCTTGGATTGAGACTGCGTGTATAGCACGTCTTCTTTGCCATCGCTAGAACCACCCTGAACTGGCCTCAAATTCGAGTTGCGTGCTTTGCATTGGGTGATGGAACCAGAGAGTGGAGTTCCGGCAGACCATTCCTGAAGAAATGTAAACAGCTTTATCGATGTCACCATTGTCGGACAATTTCGCACATTTTTCTGTTCAGTCCCGCCTCTTGGTAAACTTTGAAAACAAATTCATTTTTTACCCACCCACGAATAGTGGGCTAACCCACTGCTAGATCACGTGCAACCCTTAACTTTGTTTCACCTATGGTTTCACCTCTTGACATCGTCGATCGGTGTGAGTTTATGGCGTACGAACAGACTGGATAGCTTTCGCTTTGACATGCTGCTCAGTTGAGAAATAGAGATCAGATAATGAATTCAACTCATTGTAACGAGTTATATAGAGGTATACCAAAATGGGACCGGCCGAGAAGCACGTATGATCACTACTCAACACCCCTGTTGACACCTTGAGTAAGGCCGCCGTCACCCATTGAATCTAAGCAATTGACAAACAGTAGGTGTTAAGTTGTCTTTTTAACGGTTGGTTAAAAACACTATGCAACAAAACATTAGTCTTTGTACTGCTGTCAAAACAATAGAAATTTTGGGAGCCATCAAAGTACCCGCGACTTAGCCGAATCGCGACTTACCGAGGGGTCACTGTAATACATCATTTGAGAAAGTTAAAGAATTTTCACTATTCTAAGATAGACCAAACTCACCATTTTGAGTGCCATTGCTTTCTCCATTCTTTACATCTGTTTCTTCAGCCTTCCCTTTCCTTTGCCTCTGCTTTGCAGCTTCTTTTTTTTTAGCCTGGCGTTTTTTCGCGGCTTCAGAAGGCATATTCACTAAGGCAATGGAATGCTAGTATTATGGCACACAGCAGGAAATTCTGTCCAGAGAGCGACTCTACTGTGGAGAAAACCACATGTGGTAATGTCAAAGGGTGTTAGATGTGGATCCAGACATTAGTCCATACGTATCCCATGTGATGATTAAGCGTTTAAAATGTACACAAAGCTTGAGATTCCAACCACTCATGCTGAAGGTTTTAGAGGTTATTTGACAAAGTGAAAGACCTCAATTTCAGTATTGAATTGAATGAATTTCACATTTTTGTTCAATACTGCTTTGAAGGTGGAATGAATAGCTAACGCCCCACGAGTCGAAAGTATTTATCACTTCTGACTAGTGTACAACCAGTAACCAAAATATGAGAACGGGCCTTTACGAACTTGAGTCATACATACACAGTTGCCAACATGTTACAATCAAACACCGGTGACTAAGAGGTCGTCTACATGGTTGGATTGCATTAACTGGTTATCCGTACTTCAAATACAGTGTACTGAACTGCATTGCTTTGTGACGATTTTATTTTCAATACAAATTTTAAATTTAGTTGTGGGCCACTGGAGTTACGCGGGCTCTTCGAACATTCAGTTTCCTTTGTTAGGTTTGGACTTTTGAAGGTCAAATGCTTGCCAACACTTATGACGACTTATGACGTACTCAAACAGTCCACGCGTTACCAACATGGGACTGAATGGCATGTCAACAGATAATTACAAGCCTTCAGCGGACTGCCAACTCTGGATCGACAAATTTCAGATACAGGGTCGAAATCAAAAACTCCATTCAATAAAATCGCGCTTGAAAATTGCAGTATGGATCATTGCGGATATTATAACGATTTAGCCATGGTTCTGAAAATGGTCGTTTTTCCTCGATTGTAATTTTACTGTTGTAAATGTTAGGGCTGTGGCATATTCTCCAAATACTCACGAATGTTATACTTGACTTCGAAGCTCCCAGTCGTCTATAAAATCGGTGAAATCGGGTTAATATGACAGACAACTTTGAAATACATGTGCATCCACCGCTATTTCGTCACCGATGAATGAAAAAAGCCGGTTCCGCTTACCATATAAGGAAGTTCTCGGGAATTTTCGGAAAATGTAGGAATGTTCGGCGCTCGGGTGAGCTTTGACCTTTGGCGCGGGATTTGTGTTGTGTCACTCTTGCCAAATTATGTATAACGACATTCGACCGTATGATTGTTTGGATTCTTATTTGTATTCATATAATTTATATGTGTATACACTGAACATTCACGTATTCATTCTTTTACTAAACAACAATATTTACGCCAACGTGATCTCACAGCGATACGAGAGCCACGTCACAAAAGCGCCATCCACGTTAGGCATAAATATTGACACGTTTATGACCTAGAAGTGGGTTGAATTGTTTTAAATGTAAAAAGGCTCGGGAAATCCAAAAACAAATATTGGGGAAAACGCCTGAAACTGTTATTCTGGAGCCGTCTATGCCCGTTTCCCAACATATAGTGACGTGCTTATTTTGGAATTCTGACCTTTTCTACATATAACATCATCATGTTGCACTGCGCATGCGATTTGTAGTACTGAAATCGTAATACCACTGATACTAGTAACTATTTAGTCTAGAAGCGGGTTTGTAGGGGGGGGGGGGGTAAATGTAAATGATTAAATAGTAAATAAGTAGTAACCTCCGGGCGTATACATTATACTAAGGACTGGCTTGTACTACCTTATTTTGTAAAGTTCGTCAATTTTCGGCAATCATAATATTAAATTAAACCATTTTAATTCGCTTGGAAACTAATCCGTCGAAACTAATGGACCTGCAAACCCCCATGATGTAATATATGGGGTCTCATAATATAAGAATGAAAGATAAATAAAGCTACTTTCAGTAACATTATACAATAAGTTGGCATACAATCATTATATATTCGAGAAGTACTAGTAAATTCCTCGCCACCATGCCCTGCCATAATAAAAACACGCCACTTGCACTATTATACACAAACCTCGTGCTTCAAACTATTTTGAAGTTCACCTGTGAGGGCATACTAACGCGCGCCGAACACATCACACTAACATTACGTTTATACTTTTTCAGCCACTTTAAATACTTATGCTTGTTATCTAAAAGGTCGTTGTAGGTTTGGATGTATGTTCTGAAATCGAGAGAAACGACCAATAATGGCCTCGGGTGCATAAATAAAGGGTACACGATGCCTAACAGTGTACCTGAAGCTGCTCGTTGTGGAATCTCAGTGTAGTGCAGAAGGGGGGGGGGGTCATGTCTCCTCCGCTAACTTCAACTTAAAGGGCGGCAGTCGTCGTGCCGCGTCCTGTTCGATATGGGACTCATAGTCATGTATACAACGCGTGTAAAATACATTGTTTATTGACATGAAATTCGAACACGCGCTGCGCGACGACCACCACGCTTTAAGCTTGGACGGACATGATTATTGACGACATATCTGGCAAAATGCAGAGTAGACCCGGGAAACTACATATTGTTTTTAAGTTTGTCATATTCATAACTTGAAAAGCAAAATTCCCCACTGAAGTCAGCAAATACGGCAGCAAGGGCGGTATTCGTCACACCATGCAATATCTGGGTGCAACATGCACCGTTGATGGCTCCTTCGATACCTGCTAACCGCCAAAGAAATTGCCGAGTTAAAACTTAGTAACGTCTCAGTTTGTACTCATTGATCTTGCGTCAACGTCTTTGATTTTAGTAACAGTCAAAGTCGCCATCTTTGTTCACATGAGTCCCACATCTCGTGGCACGACAACCCCCACCCTTACAGAATAAATCAACATTATACGCCATTTATTTGACAACATTTATTTTTGAAATTAAAAAGTCATGCCAATGGCACAGAAAAGTTGGATATATGCTTTGCTCCCGCTTTAACATACTCACTGGCGGGTTACTAAGATGCAGAGAGACACTAGCCCAACATGCAGAGTGATATACTTATTTTAACAGTGTTTGACAAAGAATCCTATACCACTTGTACAATTTGGTTTGTAATAAGTTTACATGGTAGAATTTTATTTGAGCCGAGCTATGGCTCCTCCCACCAATTAACAGGAGATTACCTCTTGTGCGTTTATACGGTTGGGGCCGAACTGTACTCTCGTTTGGCTAGGTTTGTTCACAGTCAGAGGCAGGGGCGGACACAGGATTTTTTTTATAGGGGGGGGGGTGTCCAAACTTTAAAATCGCCAGACTAAGTTAATGATTTTTTTTATGTTATACTAGTAGCTTCGCTATGAGTGGCCCTTGCGGTAAGCGGGTTTCGTATCTGTTGGGTTTCGCGGGGAGTAGGGCTTTGTCCCAGTAACTGGTCCTTTCATCCTTGTTGAGAATTAAAGTTTTATGTTTCTTTGACAACTGGCACTATTCTGGGAATACCATCCTGGCAGGATGTATGTATATTTACATACATTATTACTACTGCATTGCAATACAACTAATTCAAATTGAAAGAAATTGCAATATAAAATATTCCATCAGTAATACTTCTCAAAGGCGTATTTCGCGGTCAGTGTTATTTATGAAAATATTAGTTTACAATTTTATAATCTTGCTTGGCAATACCCACCCCAATTAGATATAATGTGTACATATGTTAATAAATAAAGATATAGTAACAAAAATGAAATATTATTTATTTCATATTTTATTATATAACCTGCACAAAAGTAATCAATATTTTTCCTTGCTAGAATGATATATAACTTCATACGGGAATCCTGATAAAGTTCACAACTGGCGATTTAGCAATATTAGGGATTATCAAATTCCTGTTACCTAACGTTTTTAGGTTCATGCGCTGCCTAAGCTGCCGTCCCCAGCAAATAATTAAGGTAGCGAGAAGGGAATTTTTAATTTTTTTTCTTGATTTTTTTTCAAAAATTGATAAAACGGTTACTTTCGACCTTGATACATCATCCCATGTTTTTAAAAGATCGAAATTGCGAAATAACGGTGCTCAAATGTATATTTGCATAATGTTTATCTTTGGAACGATAACTGTATAATATGTTGTTGACGATTCTGATATAGCGGGTGATAAGCTTCCTGTCGCAAACAATGCGTGTTTATCTAACGTCCATTGCTAGCATTATTGTCAGTCGAGACTTCGTCGGATAAACATGGTCATACAGTACTCATTTCGGTCAACTTTCCGCTTTTTTATCGACCGCTTATCTCTTAATTTCCGACCACGCGGTCTCGTCCGACCGGAAACCGACCGCATATCAATCACGTTTTTTTTGCTCGCTCATTGAAAACATCGACCGCTCGCCCAAACACTGATCACTGGCACATGAGTGGTCGAAACGGTGGTTTTGATAGTGAAGTGTGAACATACTGAACGACATTTCAAATCTAATGGTTGTATGACACTTGTATCGTGAAAACAACTGAACTGGGACCTCTTGTTACGTGTTTTGGGTGCTTGTTCTAGATGTACGGTAATATTTTATTTTATTTTAATGAGACAGTTACATGAAAAAAGCACAGGTAACTCATTTTGACAGAGCAGAGAAACTAGGAAATGTTAATGATTAATTCCAAAAATAACGATACCAAAACTACGTCGGTCCACAGGCGGTCGGTCTGGTAAAATTCAAATATCAAAATTAAGTCACGATCAGTGAATGAGCTAAAAGTATTCCCACAAAAAATATTTTCGACTAAAAACGGCCACATGCCCTGAAAAAACAGAGCTTGATATGTATGAATAATGTATTGGGATTCAAAAAAAAAAACGTGTCAAATTTAGTTATAGCCATAAATATTTGGTGGATAGTCGATGAACAATTCGAAAATCAGGATTCACACGGAAGTCCTTCAGGGCTGAAAATCATCGACCCTACTCTGGTTTACTTTATTTCACAACTTGCAAAGAAAACTGATTCGCCGTGGACTCTAATGTATCTCAGCCTAGTTTTTTTTTTTTTTGAACTGAGGTCAAATCCCATCCGTTTGTCAAAATATACCGATGTTTTTCAGTGAATAATTTTGAAGCCTGTCACAGCACACAAAAAACTATGTGAATCGACGCCGGAGATTGGATGGTACCGTGACGACGACCCTTCAATTAGCGTCAAATATGCTTTGTTACAACATCATTGATTGGCTGAAAGTCGCATGATCGGAGCACGACCTGGGTCACAGTACAATATTTGTCCGTATTATCACGGTTACTAGTAACCGTGGTATTATCAACAGGACTTTGAACCACAACCACATTTTCAAACATTTTTAGCGCGGAAGTTGCCAACAAATTTCGAAAAACAAACATAACAAAACAAAATAAAGCTAGCGATTGGTAAGAATGGTTATTAATATATTCCCGGTGCTCTTCGAATTTTTATTTTTTGTTGATTTCAAGGTAAGAAATGGCTAGTTGAAGTTGCATCGACTTCAATGAATTACGGCCAATGTTTGCCCTGTCTCGGCCGATTGTGTTGAATGCCGGCGTCGGGGCCGACGCCCGTCCTAAATTCAGTATGGAGAAACCAACGGGGATCAATATTCCACACAAATGAAATTATCAACAAAAGACGATATTTTTCTAGATATTTACACCCATACTGTCATGACAGACATAGGTAAATTCTACAAATACACAAAGAGGTGTAACATTAGGTTTTATTTTAGGCTTAGAAATATTTCCTTTCACTCACTCCATGCATGGAACTGCTATTTAGCTTCATGGTCCTTCAGCTTGTCTTCGCCTCGGGGGAAAAACAACAACAATTATACAAAAAACAAACAAACAGACAAGCATGTCGTAATTGTGTTGAAATTTCACGTCAGAATATTGTTTAAAATAAAATAATCAGTTCAAGCCAAATCGAGGTCAAAGGGTCAGATTGCGTGCATATAATTATAGATAGTTAAAACAAAAAGTATTTGAACTTTTGTCGGCTATTCAACATAATATGAACCTCGGAAATTTGTCTGTTAGCCCGAATTGTAATTGTAATTGTAAGTCAATATTCTATTTTTCTAACGCAATGGCGAGG